TCTTGCTCAGAGGCACAGAAAATAATCAGGACCTCTAAATCTTCACATAATGCAACCACAGAGGGAAAGGACATGACACTGTGGAAGACTCCAGCTCCAGGAGCTCCTTCCCAAATGCCCCCACTCGTTGCACAGACTGAAGCTGGACAGGGCAGTGTTTGTCTCACAGCTTGGACACATTTACATGTTCTTGTCCACCTGATCCCTCACCTCTTCAGGAGGTCCAAACTTTACCTGAAAAACTTCCTTGACTGGTCAGAAGTGGCTCAGTTTCAACATAAACCCTTTATTTCCCAGGAATACTCCCACTGACCCCAAGGTGTGTGTATTCTCAGGGTTTCATGCAAGGAAAGCAAGACCACCCAGAAGTTACCTGCAGCATTCCCTGCCTGCTGCTCCAGAGGGGACAGGTGCTGTGCAGGAGGGCTGGCAGCTCGGGGACTTGTGCTTGGAATGAGGACATCTCCAGGAGCCTGCAGGGAAAGAGGACAAGCATTCCCTTAGCACAGCTGCTCCAAAGAACAAGGCTAGCAGGGACCTGCTGCCCTGGAAAAGCCAGCTGCTAGCTCAGGTGGGGTCTGCTTCCCTCCCAGTGAGGGCTGTGCTGGCTCATTTTGGGACATCAGCCACGTCCCCACATCCAGTGACAACCTCAGCGAAGGTGCTGACTCAGCAAGAAGGCATCCACAGTCTGAGGTTGTTCCTTGGAACTCACCTTCTCCCTCGGGGAATTTGGCTCCAGCTCAGGCCTGTGAAGGAAAAGCTATTTTAATAATTTAAATTCTCTCTGAAGGCGAGTTATAGGTGATGGAAGCAGTGTATGGGACTCCGAGGAAGGGGCAGGTTCTTAAGCACATCCAGAGGCTGTTCCAACCAAGCACATCAAGGCTGGGCTGTAAATTCCTCAGAGGGACTGTCCCACTGTGCTGCTGAACACCCCCTAACCACCTTGGGCGCCAGGAGCAGGAAAGAGGGGACTCTTGACAGCCTTGGGCTGTCCCTTCCCCAGAGCAGACCTGACTGGCCACCAGCATTGCAGGGCTAGTGGCAGCCAGGAATTCCAGGAACCCCAGGACACACCACCAGCCACCCCAGTGAAGGACCTAATCTCACTGTGCCTGAACAGCACAACCTGAAATCTCACCCAGCCCCAGGTGACAACAACATCTGAGCAGTCCCTGACAAAGTCTGTGACAGAAAAGCCACCCAGAGTGTCCTCACAGGGAATGCTGGCATCCCTTCCCACCTGCCTTACATGGCAGCCTCACCTTGTGCCACTGGTCACATCTTCTTCCACAAAAGCCTCCAAGGAGCTCTGACCTGCAGAGGAAAGCACAAGTAGAGCTGGGATTTCACTCCCAGGCTCCCAACAGCCACAGGGTGCACATGGAAGAGCTCAGGCTTCCTCCCAGGAACATGGATTGCTCTGCTTTCCCCACCAGCACCACACCTCCCTCGAGTGCCACTGAATCTGGAGTGGGCTGGGGAGGCAGAGCACTGAGGCAGCAGCTCTGCTGCCTGCAGCCTGCTCCAGCTGCCTCTGTCACAGCCAGCATTCCCAGGCCATTGGCTGCAGCTCCTGCCTCCCTGCACGCTCTGGTGCAGGGATCCAGGGGGTTTGGGCTGATTCCAGGCTCATTCCACCCCCCCATCACACCCCTTCGCTCCAAGTGTTATAACAAATGCCTGGATACAGTGTGACTCAAGGCTGACAAAGCTGAATTCCAGAGGCCTCCATGCTCCACCATAGCCTGTTTGCCTGCAGCAGCAATGGTTTTGGAAAGCCCAAAGAGCCAAACCGTGTCAGGAGCAGCAGGAATAGCTGATACAAGGGATTTGGAGCTACTGGGAATAGCCTGGGCTCCACGACCCCTGTTCATCTGGTGACACAGCTAGTTTGAGTCTCTTCTATGCTTGCCCAAAAAGCATTTGAGCTCCTCTGCCCACTGCAGCCTAACTTCAGGGCTGCACTTTCAGCCTTATTGATTTTTTGGAGAGCTGGCAGATGCCATAAATTAAAGTTCTTCCCCAGGGAATGCAGCAGTCTCTCCCAATCCAAAGGCACACATGGCTGGAACCAGCCTGGCCACGCGCTCCCTTCCCCAGTTGTGCTTTTTACCCATTCCCAAACTACGTACCCCAACTCCCCCTGCCCCCCAGCCTTCCCCTGCTGCAGCAACACCCTGGCTTGAAGCTGCACCCCAGGATCCCACAAAGACAGGAGACTTGGCGGGAGCTGGAGGCAGGGATGAGCAGCTCCACACCGCTCCAATCCCTCATGGAAGCAGTGCAGGGACTCACAGCTCACTCTGCTGGAGGCCGAGGAGGATTCTCGAGCCGCTGCTTTCCTGGCCCTGCTGATGGATCTCCGGATCATGTTCTCCCTCCTGCTGGCCAGGGAGCACTTTTCTGCCAGGGAAGCCCTATGGCTCTTGCGGGGGGCACCCAGCCCGCTCCGGCGGCACGTCCTGGATTTCTGTGCCACACTTTTACTGGGGGAGTCCTGGAAGAGCAGTGCCTCGAGGCCCTGAGAAGATCCATCTCCTTGGAGTGCAGCAGGACCACCATTCTGAGCAGCCTTGGGAGTGGAGGTGCTGGCTCTCCTGGGGTCCTGCTCCCCATCCCTTCCTGGCTGTTCAGCTGGGATCCCAGGGATGTCCTGGAGCTCAGCTGCTACATCCACCTCAGGCAGCTGTTCCCCCAAAACTGCTAGAGGGGCTGCATCACCCCCAGCAGCAGCCTGAGGACAATCCAGATCTGCCATGGGAACACGTGCTTCCTCAGGCTGCTTCCTGGGCAGAGCTGGGAGCTGGGGTGTGATGCCAGCCTGAGATCCTGGAGCACAGCCGGGCATGGACACATCCTGCCCCTCACATCCAGGGCTCTGGGGCTGCTCCTGGCTCTGGCACTGCTGGGAGTTCAGGCTGGAAGACTGCAGCTTGACACCACTCCTCCTTCTGGATAACCTTAAGGGAAAAGAATTTTGAAGGAAACTATGAAGGAGTTGTCCACTGCCAAGCAAGTTTTGGAGAGAAAAGCAGACGGGCTAAAAGTGAAGCTGCAGCTGCTTCTCCACTCCACCATTTCCCCTCACAGCCCATCCTATCCCTGGGGAGAGGCACACGGACACAGCCCAGATGGGAGCTCACACACAAGGGCTGTGCCATACGGACAGTCAGGTGTGGAGAAATGGCAGTGGGAAAGGTGCATCCAGCCCTACATCAAGAGCTGGCTTTAAACCCTGCCCTGGGAGCAGCACATGGCAGAGGACAGCCCCTACAGAGGGACACACAGCATGTCACCTTCCTGGTGACATCAGCAGCTCTTCCCAAACCAAGTCTAAAGGAGGGAAAACACCAACAGGAGTTAGCTGGGCTGCCCCCCTGGAGGATGCATGACCTGAGCACCCAGAGCAGGGCCTGGAGCTCTCCCTGCTCCGATCCGCAGTGCTGCTTTTCCTGCTCTCCCTGCACACACACAAACCTCCCACGCTCCCGCTATTCCTGCTGCTCTCCCCACCCTCCATGTCTGCTTCCTAACAGTCTCCCACCTCTAACTCTTCCTCCTGTGGGCTTCTCACCATAGTCAGCACGATTTTAGTGCCCTAAAACACCAATGGATCAGGTTTGGGCAGCTTTAAAAGTGGCGTGGGCTCTAAGCAAATCACTTGGAACTTCCACTTCAGTCCCTCCATAAACCCTTGGAGCCTCCCTGCCTGCCAACTCAGACATGGTGCTGGCAACACATCCCTTTCCCAAGTTTTCCAGGCACTGACGCAGAGGCTTAGGGAGCGAACACCAGGAGCAGCAACCTGAGCCCAAAAGAAGAACCCAGTGAGACAAAACACAAATGTAAACAGACAAGAAAATAGAATGTTTATTATTCTTCAACTATAACCAGAAAAAAATAGCGAAGGAAAGTGGCCAACTTTATCCCAAACTCTCACCAGAATCAAACAGTGAGCAATCCCAACGTGCCCCTTTGATAACTCAGGGAACACAGGCACTGTTTTGTTTCATCCAAACACCATGAGGCTGAGCCAGAGCAAGCTGACCCACCTACCTCCTCCTGCTCAGCTCCTTGTTTTCCTCTCTCAGCCAGGAGGACTGCCTTTTCCTGAGCTTCCTCCTCTGTGACGGCGTTTTGGGCAAGAGCATGGGTTCATCCCTGAAGCTGCTGTGGGGCAGAAGAGGCAGAGCACAGATTGCTTCCCCCACTGCCCACATCAAACCCCTCACACGCAGCTGGTGTGGCACAGCGGGGTCCCCTCAGGGCAGCCCTTACCTCTTGAGCATCCTCATGCCCTGCTCCTCCACCTCCCGCAGCCAGGCCAGGTGCTTGTGCTGGGCGTCGGAGAGGAAGCGGGACAGCCTCTGCCCGCACACTTCCAGCAGCTGCTGGGGACCCTCCGCCATTGCCTCGCCTAGGACATAGAGAAAGAGAACGGGGTAATGATGGGGGTGGGGGGGACGTGGGAAACGACGTGGGAAAGAGAGACGCAGGCACCGGGGGGAGTATGAACGCAGACCGGGGCTTAGGTATTAGGGGACCCCTCCCAAACTCCCCAGACCCTCAAGAGCACTCGCTCGGCACCCGACCAGAGCCACCCCTCCAGCCGCTGCCGCCGCCGCCTCGTCCGCTCGCCACACCCTCACAACGTGGCCCAGCCCTTCGCACCCCGACGTTATACCCGGCCTCCGCCAATCACAGCGCATCCCCCTCAATTGCCGGAGTTTTATTGGTTGATTTGCTTGTCCGTCACCCTCAGCTATTAAAAGGAGTCGCCTATGGACCCGCCTCCTCAAGCCCCGCCTCCGGAGCCGAGTCCTCCAGGAGCATAGAGACGGGCTAGCAGAGCGGCGCCGAGTGCGAGCCCTTTCCTTGGCAGCCAATGGAAAGGAAGGGCCGTGGGGGGCGGCGGGCGATGATTGGCTATGTCGGGGGGGCGGGGCCGTGTTTGAACGGCGTGCCGCGCGCGCGCGGCCGTTGGCGCTGTAGCGATGGCGGCGAAGGGGGCCGCGGCGGCGATGGGGTATGCGGAGCTCGCGGCGCGGACGATGGAGCTGCCCTCAGAGGGCGACCGGCGTCTGGCCCAGTTCCTGCGGCAGGTGGACGAGACCGATATGGTGTGGCTGGATGAGATCTACGAGGAGGCGGTCAAGATGTTTGTTAGGTACCTGCATACCCCGCTAGGCCCTGGCCCCTACCGGCCACCCTTCGCGCTGATCCCGCCTTGATTTCCCCTTCCTCTCTAGCAACTACAGCGAGGAGCTCGAGTTGATGCCCAAGACGCCGTCGCAGAAGAAACGGCAGCGGAGGAAGCGGTTGTCGGCCTTGCAGGAAGAGCAGGAGCCCAGCAGGAAGCGGTGAGGGGCTGTGGGAGCGGGGATGGGGGAGCCCCTGTGGAAAGGGGGAGCGTAGAGGGTGTCCTCGGGGCCTGGGGAAGGGAGGGAGCCCGTGTGAGACTGAACAGACCTGCTGCCAAGGGTTCAGGGAAACAATGCCCTCCACGGAGCACGTCCTGGTGATGCTCTGCTTTGTCCAGGGGGAGCTTCCCTTCCTTTGTCCCGCTCTGGTCAGACCCTGTGTTTGGGGCACTGTCGGCCGAAAACATTGGATTTCGATTCTCACGACAAGTGCTTTTATTGTTGCCTGGTTCTATGTCCCCGTGTCTCTGTCTATTATCTTTCTGCTTAAAGCCATTGCATCCCTTGATTGCTGTCTGCGTTAGCTGCTTTGTGCTGCTCTGTGTCTCCTGGGCCCATCCCAGGTGTTTGGCTCCATGTGTGTGTGTGCATGGAACGACTCGGGGCTGTTCCCGACTCCTGTTCCCATCTCACCCACTGTTCCTGTGATCAGCCTCTCCAGGAGGAGGAATGGCAGCAGCAGACCTTCTGTGCGATCTTCTCAGCGACTCAAGAACAAAGAAAACCTGGAACTCAGCAGGGCTGAGGCCAAGGAAGACTCTCCACCACAGCGTGTGACACGGTCCCGGGCTGCAGCCTCTGCCATAAGCTCCAAGGTGGTTCCTGAGACCCCTACTGCCCTGCAGGCAGCAGGGAAGGATCGCTGGGTGGAAGCTGACCATGTTGGTACTGCAGTGCCTCTCCAGAGGAGCGGGGCAAAGCCGGCAGAGCTGCTCCCCACAAGCTCAGGGAATGGCTCTCCCGAGGAACATGGTGCTCCCAAATCACCACTGGTGCCCACAGCCCCTGAGCTGGTAGTGCCCTGTACTCCCGAGCCACAGCCAGCCAGGGCAGCCAATGTCACCGTCATCCTGAGCCCAGGGGCTGGACTGAAGGAGGGGGATGGCTCCCCACAGGAACACAGCCGGGCTCAGGAGTCCTCCCAGCCCTTGAGGAGCAGCCCGGGGACTCCGACTGGCTCCAGGCTCAGCCGCCGCTCCGTGCGCCGGAGCCTGATGGGGAAACCCTCCCTGAGCCGCAGAACCTCCCTGGCAGAGAAATACTCCCTGGCCAGCAAGAGGGAGAGCATGATCCGGGCATCCACCGCCAGGGCAGCGGGCAAGAAGAGGGCGACTCAGAAGAGATCCGTGTCCTCCAGCTCTGTGGATGGTGAGCTTGGGTGTCATCGGGGGCATTCTGCTTCCTGGATCTTCAGTGTGGGGGTGGCAGCTGAGCTTCCTGGGCTAGATAGGCTGCAGTTCCTCATGGAAGTCCTGCCTGGCTTTCTGGAACCCCACTATGAGCATAGAGACCCAGGTAACTGACTTCAGCCTTGTAAATCACCTGGGAGATCAGCCTCAGTGTCTCCATTTCAGTGTAGCTTTAATCATTGCTGTGATTTGCTGTGACAAGTTGTTAATCTTGGAGTCCCAGGATGGTTTGGATTGGAATGACCCAGGTCATTCCAAGCCCTATCTAACCTGGCCTTGGATGCTTCCAGGAGCCACAGCTCCTCTGGTCTGCTGGTCTCCCCATTTCTGTGGGGACAGCTGGTAAAGCTGAGAAGGATTTGGGGAGCCAAAAGGGGTGATGGATTCTCCTAAAGCCCTTCCTGTTTCCTGCAAGGTGCAATTCCCACCAGTTCCCTTCTCCTTAGCTGGATCTGGCTGCTGGTTCTAGAGTTTGCTTGAGAAGGGAATTTTGAGGCTGGACTTTGTAGATTAAAAGTCTCCCACTATTTTACAGTTGGTGGCAGAGGCAGATTTAGTCTCATCTAAACTGCTGGAATTATTAAACAAAGAAGCTGGAGAGAGACTCTTTATCAGGAACTGGAGTGATAGGACAAGGGGAAATGGGTTCAAACTGAAAAAGGGGAAATTTAGATGGGATATATGGAAAGAAATTCTCTGTTTGAGGGAGGAGAGGTACTGGCATATGTTGATGGAGAAGCTGTGGCTGCCCCACCCCTGGAAGTGTCAAAGGCCAGGTTGGACAGGGCTTGGAGCAACCTGGCCCTAGTGTCCCTGGCAAGGTGTCCCTGTTCAAGGCAGGGGGTGGGACTGGATGAGCTTTAAGATTCCTTCCCACCCCAACCAGTCTCTGATTGTTTGATTCTGTGGTTATTAGTGGCAGGTTCTGGCTGTGACAGAGCTCCTGAGCTCTGTGCAGCAGAGCCAGCTAGAATGCTGGCGTGGGAAGCAGCATTCCCACTGTAAATGAGACTGGCTCTAACTGCTGTTGATGTCCAGTCACGTCCTGCAGATAAGCCCAAGGCCTATTAATGCTAACTCATGGAATATCACCCTGAACTCATCCATAATTGAAAACTGCTTTCCTGCATTGGAACTGCTGGCCATGTTCCTGCAGTGCCACCTGGGTGTGCTCCTGTGCCCCACCCTGCCCCAGGGCAGGACAAACCCTTCTGCAGTGTCTCGAGCTCCTTCTCCCTCCAGATCCTTGGCTGCAGCCCAGCCTTACAGCTCGGGTGTGTTTTTTCCTCTCCCACAGCCTCCAGCTCCATAAGCGTGCCAGAGGGTGAGGAAACCGTTGTCAGAACTGGGTGAGAATGCTTTCAGTTATTTATTTGTTATTTATCCTCACTACCCTGCTTGCAGGACTTTTTCACTGCTATTCGTGGTGTAAAATCCAAGTGGCTTCCCAGTTTTCTCAGTTTTGCTAAGCACAGCCCCTGTTGTCTTTCTTTTTTTTCCTAGGCCTCCTCCTGGACCCTCCACCCCCTCCAAGCTGGTAAGACTTGGACAGGGATTAAAAGTATTTGTGCCTGTGTGGATTTGGGAGAAAAATGTGTGGAATTACAGCTTACTGGGAAATCTGGGAGCTCTGGCTGTAGGTTGTCAGACTTTGTAACCTGTCCCCATGGCAGTGAGTGAGGAAGGCACAGAGCATCTGGCTTAGAGGTGCACAAGCCCATCTGAGCCTCCGTGGTTCTGGTACTCAGACTAGGGAAAGTCTTAACCACAACATTTTAGAACCAGCAAAACCAAAACCAGCAAAGTTTTCTTTGGGAAATGAGCACAGGTGACCCATGGCATTGGGTGTAGGTGCTCTGTCAGAAGGGTGTTACAAGCTTGCATGCTTGCCTAGACTTTACTCTGTCATTTTCCTAAATCTCTTGAAATTGTTGCACATCCTCCTGTGCCTGATCTCAGGGTTGAGTCCTGCTTGGCTCTTCCTTCTTAACCTCTTGCTAGAGATCATTGTGTGAAGATTCAGTTCCTAGTCTTTACAGATAAAAAACTTATAGTTCGGGGAAGTTTGGTTCAGCTGGTGTCATGGTTTGCACGCTCTATTTTAAAGCTTCTTTTCACCTTTTGGTCAGTCCTGCAAGTAGTTCAACACTTTTTAGTTTGGACACACATGGAAATTTGTGAATATTATTAAGGTCAACACCTTTCCCTCCACAACCCTCACCGAGGAAGTAACCCTGGCGTTATGTCAGTGTTTAGTCCAGAATAAATTTCAGTGAGCAGAGCCTGAATTAATGGAGCAGAGCAGTGACCTGAAAACAAGGAGAACTGTTATGAGTGTGCAGAAACTCAAAAAAAGTCAGTTTTTCTAGGCCCTGCAGAAGCAATTGGGGAGGATGGATTCTCCATCAATCCCTTTTCTTCTCTTCCCAGTGCAGCACTATGAAGTGCTGACCAGGAGGTAATGCTGGTGCTGCTAGGAGAGAGCAATTCCAGAACCACAGCCCATTATCCCAGCAGAGCCTAAGTGCAAAGGCAGAGCAGCGATGGGTATCCCATAACAAACAGATAAATCATGGAAATGAGCCATTTGCCTGCTGTCTCCAGGCTCCCCACTCGTCACTGCTCAGGGATATGGGCATGCTGGCTCTGGCCAGAGCTCCAGCAGCACAGATTTACAGCTTGGAAGGCTCCTGGCCTTAATAGTTGATGAGCTGGTTGAGTTTAAGCAGCGCAGATGCTCGTGTTAATGTCCCTGCCTCTCCTGGTGATGCAGCATCCAGGGCTTTGCCAAGAGCTGGTTTGGCATTCCCTGGTAGCGCCGCTGTCCGTACCCGTGTCAGAGCCACCCCACAATCTGAACCAGGAACAGTTTCCATGTGTGATTGTCCTGAAACCCCTTTGCTTTTCCCACAGGAATCCCAAAACCCTCGGATGTCCCTTCGCTCCCACACAGTCAGCAAACACGGGCAGCCCCAGGAGCAGAACAGCAATGGTAATTCCAGAGGGTTTGGGGGCAGCACTTTGGGAAGTTATCATTTTGGGAGGCTGGCTGGGAAGCTGGAAAGATTGACTGGTTAATTTGAGAGCTCACTTTGAAAGATTAATTAATGTTTGATGAGCAGGGATTTGTTTCAGACAATTAGCAGTGAGAAAACTCTGTGCTGGAGTTATTTCCATCCTGGCAAGCACATGGAGATGGTTGTAATGAGGCTGGAGGGTTGTGGGAGGCCCAGTTGAGCTCTGTTGCTGAAGCTGTGCAGAACTCAGACAGCTTTAGGCAGCTCTGCTTTGTCTGGAGTTTCCAAGTGGGAATGGTGCCATGTGAGCCAGGTCCTGCTGTGCCCACTCCTGCAGGTGCTTTTGCTGTTCAGAGAGCTGCTACACCCCTTCTCTGCTGTCAAACCTGTGCTGGGGGGATTTTTCCTGCTAGAACTCACTGTGTAACTGTTCTCTTTCAGAAAACAACTTAAATAAGAATGGGGGGACCCTGGAGCCACCCCAGAGTGCCAGGTATGTCCTAGTTGGAAGTGTCTCAGGCAGGCTGTGGCCTGTTCCAAACAGGTTCAGTGCTGGGATGTTGTTCACTGGCCTTTAGTATTTGTGAAACTTCTGCAAATAAGTTTTTCCTGCCTCCATTATTGTATGATTTAATTTTTATTTTCTATTGCATTAGGATTTTATTTATTGGCTAACTGTGCATGCACAATCTTAGAATTACAGACTGATTTGGATTTGAAGGGACATTAGAGCCCGTCCAGTGCCACCCTCTGCCCTAGGCAGGGACACCTTCAACTATCCCAGGTTGCTCCAAGCCCCAACCAATCTGGCCTTGGACACTGCCAGGCATGGGGCAGCCACAGCTTCCCTGGGCAACCTGTGCCAGGGCCTGCCCACACTGGAATCTCTCTCAAGCCCAGGGTAGTTCATGGCCCTTTCCAGCCCTGACTTGGAGGCATGAGGAGGATTTGCCTGGTGTGTCTCATAGCCTGTGCTGTCTCACAGGAGGAAGCCGAGCTACAAGAGAGCCGTGGATGAGCGCTACGACCACCAGCAGGCAGAGGAGGGAGGGCTGTCTCCTTTCAGGAAGAAGACCCCATCCCCAGTCCTCCCAGCCAGCAAGGTGAGATCCTTGTAACCCTGGAATGCCTCACCAAGACCCTTTTTTTACCCAGCCCCACTCACACTTTGCTGTTCCTCCCACAGGTGGTGCGCCCATTCAAAACATTCCTGCACACTGTGCAGAAGAACCAGCTCCTCATGACACCGAGCTCTGTGGGGAGGAACGGAGTCATAAAATCCTTCATCAGGTACAACACCCCTCTCCAGGCTGATCCCAAGGTAAGAGGAGGCTCTGCTCTAAGGCAGTACACGGTGGTTTCATTAAATGCCTAACTTAAAGCACAGCTATGAGAGGAGCTTTGCAACCCATTTGAAACTGAGTGATTTGAAGGGCTTTGTTTACACGTAAATAAATAAAATTGTGGCTAGTCAGCTTACTGAAGAATTCCAGTTTGAAGTCCAAGCTTTATTCCTGCATCATTCCCCTGAGCTATTGGCAAGTAACAGTCTGAGATGAAAACTGTGAAACAGAAATTGAGTGGATTGTGAATGTTGAGTTGTATTGATAACTGAAGCCAGGTCTCATTTTCTAAGGTCTGGCCTGATCCCAGGTCTCCTTTCTAGGACTTCTCTCATGAGTGAGATTGAGCAAATACCTCTTAAATTCAAACCTTGGAGGTTTTCCAAACCCTTGAGGCAGGAGAAAACATGAGGCTGTCCTGGTTGTGGGGCCACTCAGACGAGTGCTGGTGTCCAGATCGAGCGGGCATCAGTATCACTGATGGATCCTGTTGGGACCAGCAGCACACCTTGGCTGGCTGCAGGCAGGTGCTCCTGCACTACCCCAGGGAGCTTTCCAAGGCCCTGGTTTTCCAAGGCAGGAGCAGTTTAGGAGGGAGGGATTTGAGAGCTGGTTCTAGACAAGGGTGTAGCTTCCTGGATTCACTCAGAGCCGCTCTGGAAGTCGTGTGCCAAGCAGGAATTGCTCATACTCCTGATACCCAACAACTCACCTGCAAAGTAGGCAGCTCTGGGGCTGGTTTCCCCTTGCAGGAGAGCTGAGAGGAAGAAAGAGGGGGGCAGGATACAGGAATTGGTATTCCTGCATCTAGCAGCCTAATGGCAGAGCTTCCTAGAGCTCTGCTCAGAGGCTGGCTGTGCTCCAGCAGGTGAGGGAAGGCCACTGGGAAGCAGTGAAAGACTCCAGCTTCAATCTCACTGGGCCCCTGCTGATGTTAGTGTCAGTACTACAAAGGAGTTAATAGGATGAGAAAAGAGTCTTGTGGCTAGAGAGTGCTTCCTCTGCTGCTGTCAGTTTGTGGAATGATTTAGGTTTCATTCCAGTGCAGGCAGCTCCCCCTCAGGAGATTTTCCATGTGGGAGCTAAACATAACTAAATAGCAGCAGAGCAATAAGATATAATTGTTAGTTTTATATTAACCAGTTTGGATGCTGACAGCACCAAGCATTTACAGCATGGAGCCCAGTGTAAGGATTCCCATGGATAATGCCCGTGCAGATCTGTGGGTTTGTGCTGAGACCAGGCCTGCTTTGGCATGGAGTGGGTTGATGTCAGTCCATTTGCTGTGGTTGTAGTGGTGGCTGGATCTCACTCCCCTGGCTGACAGCGTGCCTGGGCTGGGTCAGGAGAATGAGGAGAAAGCCCCTGGTTCTGGCTGCATGCCAGAGCAGGCTGGGAGCTCTGGGAGTGCTGGTGGTTCACCCCCAGAGCGAGCCTGGTGGGAGGTGCAGGCGCCAGCGGGAGCTCAAGGTGTTTCCTGGAGCACCATCTGTCCCTGCGCTCGCCGCAGGGAGCGGGAGCCGTGCCAGCCATTAGCGCTGCTTGGTGGCTCCTTTGCACCAAAAGAAAGCACGGGGCTGGCTGCCTGCAGTCCCTGAGGATGCTGCCTGGGCTTCCAGAGCTGTGTGTGCTCCTGTTTCAACACTCCAGCTTCTCCTCTTGCTCCCTGAGATTCACACCAGTGTTTTCCTTGCATATGTCCATTCATGACCAGGTCACAGGCTGCCTGAGCTCTGCTCCAGAGCTGTCACCATCCCATATTCCTGCCTGCAGCTCCTCACTGTCATCTCTGGGCCCTTGCCCAAAGCAGCTGAGGTGGGATAGAGCTCTGGCCAGTGGGTACAATGACATTCAATTCCCCTCAGGAGAAAGAGAGGCAGAAGCTGGAGACTCTGCGGAAGAAGCAAGAAGCTGAGCTGCTGAGAAGGCAAAAGGTGGAGGAGGAGAGGAAACGGCGACTCGGAGAGGCGAAGCTGTGAGTAGATGTGGTCACACTGCTCTTGGCCACCTGTAGGTTCCTGTGTTCAGGTGTTTTATCTTGCAGGAGCTGTTTAAGCAGCAGAAACTCCTGGGGACACAGGCAGTGTTTGTCTTTGGGGTATCCCTGGAATGCTGATATAAAGCATTGACTGTCCTTGCTGCCCACTGGTGTAGCTTTTTTGATTTGAGTCCCCACTTTCTGACAGAGCTTAAACATGGCTGGTGCTTAAATGAATGTGGAATTTGGGCCGTTGAATTTCCTGCTGTGTCTCTTTGGCCTTGTGCTGAGCTGGGGGGAGCTCGCCTGGCTGGAACACGCTGGTGAGCCGGGCTGTGTCCTCAGGAAGCGTGAGGAACGCCTGCGCAAGGTGCTGCAAGCCCGGGAGCGGGCGGAGGAGATGGAGAAGGAGAGGAAGAAGAGGATCGAGCAGAAGATTGCGCTGTTTGATGAGAAGACCGAGAAGGTACAGCCCTTGCAGAGCTTATTTGGGACAGTCAGTAGCCACTGGGGCAGTTGGCACCACAGAAATGTGCTCTCTGGAAAGAGGGGCACGGAGGCTGCTTGGATTCCAGAGGCTGAACCAAAGAGTAGTTGAATAAAGAACTTTCCAGAGCCCTGATGATCCTAGGGACAGCCTTTCTCTGGCTACAGCAAATGACAGCTGAACTCCTGTTTTTCCATAATCAGGAATCTAAATGGGCTTTATTAATGCTCTGGTAGATGGGAGAAGGACTTGCAGTAGATAAAGGTGGCCTAATTTGCTATTTGCTGCTTTTCCCATCTGACTAATAGCTAGCTGGACAGGGTAAAGCAAACATCCTTCCTCCAGAGCCTTCCTCAGATCCCAGACTTCCAGGCAATTTGTGCAGGGGCCTAGTAGTCATTTGTCTGCTTTAATTATCCCCAGCTGCCTGTCTGGTTGCATGGCTCTGAGGTTATATTCCAATGGTCAGCTCTTCCCGGGAAGATGCAAAACAAGGTCATTGCCCTAAATATGACCTTTTTAAAACAGAGTACAGGCCCCCTTGGTTGCTGAGGGAAAAGGAGGGAGGGTTTGCCCTGTGAGGGGTCCTGCTGTGCCGTCCTACCTGAGACTGGGTCTGTGTGTGCTCCAGGTGAGGGAAGAAAGGCTGGCAGAGGAGAAGATCAAAAAGAGAGTGGCTGCCAGGAAAATGGAGGAAGCTGAGGCCCGGCGCAGACAAGAGGAGGAGGCCAGGAGACAAAGAGCTCTGCAGCAGGTTTGTGTGTGTGTGTGTGTGCGTCTGTTTCTGTCCCACAGGCAGAGCTGGACAGGGCTTCCACCTGCCTTGGGCACTGGGAATTTACCCCCAGGATGTTTCCCTGCCATGTAGCGATGGGAATTTGGGTCAAGTGAGAGGTTCCTGGTGCTTCCCCTGGAGCCTGCTCCTGTCAGGTGAGTGATTCCTGCCTGTGCTTCCAGGAGGAGGAAGAACGGCGGCGCAGGGAGCTGTTGCAGAGGAAGAGGGAAGAGGAGCAGGAGCGTGCCCGGAGGATCGCTGAGCAGAGGCAGGCGGAACAGGAGCGGGAGAGACAGCTGGCTGCAGAGAGAGAACTGGAGAGGAAGAGGGAGCAGGAGCGGATCCAGGCAGAAAAGTAAGGCAAAATCCCCATTTATGTACCAAATTCTGGGATGGGGTTGAAATGCAGCCACAGCAGAGGGCAGGAGTGGAAGGCTGGAGCTGCAGTGACCTGGCAGCACAGCTCTCGGCTGCTGCTGGTGCTGAGCTGCCAGGGAGGAGCTCTGGGATGTCAGGGGTGTGGTGGGGAGTGCCTGAAGAGCTGTGAGCGCGGGAGGGCCCTGGTGTGGCTCTGGGAGTGAGGGCCTGTGCTGTGGTTCCCAGGCTCCGGGAGCAGCAGGAGAGGGCTGCCCGCCTGCAGAAGGAAGAAGCGGCTGCTAAGGAGCGGCTCCGGATGGAGATGGAGAAGAAGGAGGTGAGTGATTGATTTCTGGGAAGGGATAGAGCCACACAGTCTGGCCTCAGCAGCTGTTGCTGTTGGAGCAGCTCTGCTGGGATGCTGTGGGGAGCCCTGAAGACTGAGCAGGAAGTCAGACCTGTGTGGCATGGTTACAGTAATATGGGGAGACTTGGCCTCTAAAAATACTAGTCTAGAAGGAGGCCAAGATCAGTAGCACAGACTTCTGCAGGTGGTCAGCTGGTTTCTGGCTTTTATAGCCCCAAGAAAAAGTCAGCAGCAAGTTTTGCAAGGCGGGAGGCCCTGGCTTTGTCAGGGAAAGGCAGCTGATGCTCTGGCATGGGGGTCAGCGTGTTTGTGCCCTTCTGAGGAAGCTGCACCATGTCCCGAGTGCTCCTCAGCAGCACGAGGAGCAGCTGTAATGAGGTGCTTGAATATTTTTCCTGCTACAAAGATGGTGGCTGGGTTGGCAGTGTAGTCCCTAAGGGTAATCCTGTGGGTGTCACCTGGCAGAGGGAGCAGAAGATGCTGGCTGAGAAGAAGAGGCAGGAGGAAGAGCAGAAGAAATTGTCAGAGGAGCAAAAGGCCAAAGACAATGCCCGGGCACCACTCCAGGAGAACAAGGAGGTAACTGGGGATGAGTCCTTAGGGGTGACAGCAGAGTCCAGTCCCAACACTGACCCACTCTTGCCTCGGGCAGTTCCACCCTCTGCTTTTATCTGCCTTTTCAATAACACAGGAATTCTTTAAATTCTAGTTATCTAGGGTTGACTGTGCATATTTCAATGACAGAGGGAAGGGAAGCAGGAGGGATTGGACAGGATTCCTGGCTGTGGGTAAGACAGCAAGTGTTGGAGCTGTCTTAAATGCCTCTTAAATACCGGAAGGACCTCAGGGGCAGAAAGCGCTGAAAGTTTTATTTCAGGTCAAATTTGGGAAGAGCCACAAGGTGGCAGCAGAGCCATGTGGAATGGTGGTGGTTTGGCTCCGGAGAATCCTGCGGGTGTGCGTTCATGTCCTGAACATTGACAACAAACAGGAGGCTCTTGTCTCCTTGCAGTGCTCAGAGTCTTAATCCTAAAGTGCAGGACCAGTGGGTGGGAGTTCATGTCACTGGACACAAAGCCATGAAGGAGGTCTCTGGTGGGGAAGGACAACCATGTCCACCTCTCCAGAGACTCATTTACTGAATGAAAATAGAATTTCTGCTGAAAATTTCCAGTTGAAAAAACCTGAAATTTGCAGTTGAAGGTTTTCTCCTGCCCTTACACTTTCTGCCTGTGCAGCTTCCATTAGTGTGAGCTCAATTTGGCTGAGCTGATGGGCAGGTTCTCTGTACAGCAATCAGCAGTTTCACATCATTAATCAAGCTCAGAAGTTGAGTTGCAGAGTGTTTAGGGCATGTGACTGCTCCAGCGACATAAAACCTCCACCTAACCTTGGCTTGGCTGGAGTGGAGTTCTATTCTCTTAGACCCATTAGATTCATCTACTGCTGTGTGCTCATGCCACAGATGGTAAATTAATCAGCCTAATTAAACAGGAGAAGGCCATGCACAGCCATCATTGGGTCACAACTCTGGAACTTGGGTCAAGCTCTCGGGTCCAAACTTGAGACCTGCCAGACTCAGGGTTTGCTCTGAGGTGACAGAGCAGGAGGTGGGGGGAACAAGCTGGTCCTGCTGTAGCTTGGAGCCTGATGATGCTGCTGCACCCAACACCTGTGGAATTCCTTTCTAGAACTCCCCTGCCTGCAACTCGTACGAGATGACTCCTCAGAGCAGGAAGGAACTCAAGGTGCCTTTGACAAGCTCCAATGACTATGGGATGGACCTGAACAGCGACGACTCGACAGATGACGAGAGCCAGCCACGCAAGCCTGTGCCTGCCTGGGCCACTGGTATGTGTGTGGGGGGGATGTGGGGGGTCTTGTGTGTCCAGGACCCCCAGCAGACTGTGGGAGCTGCTGTGGGGTTTTGCCCAGCTCCTCCTGCCTGGAGGAGTTTAAAGTACTCCAGCATGAAATGAGTCCTGCTGTGTCCAAGACTGGACAGGGTCTTGGAGCAACCTGGTCTAGCGGAAGGTGTCCCTGCCCATGGCCGGGTGTTCGAACTTAGATGAGTTTTAAAATCCCTTCCAACCCAAACCATTCCATGATTCTATGTGGAATGTGGAATCAGGGGCTCCTCTACTACTTGGGGATCTTGTCACAACATGATGGGGGACAAATATACAGCTAAGCTGCCTTGGGGTGGCAAGAGATGAGCAGAGCGGGGACACACCGCATACAACAGCCTACACAGCGATCCCAATGAACAAAATTAACACAGCCTTCCTCTGTTCCTGCAGGGAATCTGCTCAGCCAGGCTGTGATCCGGCAGTACTACAACCCCCCTGACGTGGACGCGCTGTTCGGGGCCATCCCCAGCCCCAAGCTGGAGGACATCTTCTACAAGAACAAGCCCCGCTACTTCAAGCGCACCAGCTCGGCCGTGTGGCACTCCCCGCCCTCCGTGGTGGCCAAGCCAGCCCTGGGGTTGCCCTGTGGCCTCAAGAAGCCCTGAGGTGAGCGCAGGTGTGCAGCAGGTGTGCCTTCCTGTCTCCAGGTGAGGAAGGAGTCACTCTTCACTTTAATATTTAGGTTCTAGCATTGAATAAATGGCAGCTTTTCCTGGGTTCCTGCGCCTTGGTTGGCGGGGCCAGTTTCTGTCAGGGCAAGCCACGAGGTGCTGCCCCAGGAAGTGTCTCTCTCGTACCCTTAGCTTGGAGCTGGCATGGACTCAGACCTTCAGCGGGTGAGAGGTGTCACCTGAAGCTGTGGGATACCCCCCTCTCTGTCACACAGGCCTGGCAGGCCCTGCCATTCCTCAGTTGTACGTCTGTGCTGCCCTCGAGGTCAGTGACAGCCAGGGACCACTGCACCAGGGCACAGTCTGGCCTGCTCCACTGCTCTTCTCAGGAAGGTGTTCCCAGGTGTGCTCTTCATCTCTTGCAATCCCAAAGGGATTTGTCGCTCTGTCCCCACCTGTGTGGTGGTGTCCATCAGCTGGGCACGGCTGACGTTGGCACAGCTGTGGCAGGAACACCGTGAGGGTCTCAGTGACGTTCTGCCAGCTGTGGAGAGAGGTGACCAAGGTGTGACCATGTCCCCGAGGACCCGCAAGTGTGTGAGCCAGCTCTAGGCCTTGATAGGAGAAACTCTGCAAGGGTTTTGGCAGATTTTTTTTGTTTCTCAGTGAAATTCAATCTGTGAGGCCAGATGGGATTTGAGAGGATGTTTTTAACCTTAATCCCTCTTATTCACCCTTGGCTGTGGCTCAGCATCAGCTCGTTGTCTCGGCCTGTTTAGCACTTCCTGTTCAGTGAGCCACTGCTACCCAGACTCTGGCCAACCCAATTTCATTGAACCAAAAATTCCAGCTCAGCCTTCCCATTCCAGGAGTCTGTGGTGGTTTAGTCATTCCTTCTGCACCCAGCCCAGCCCTGCAATCCCCCTGTAGATACTGTGCTTTGTGTGAGGGGACATGATCCTGTCTGTGTGTCTGTAGCCAACGCACTGTTTGCCAGCAGATGTTCTTCAAAAGAAAAGAAATATTAAATTTTGGTTTTAAATTAAATAAAAAAAAAAGTTTTGTATTTCAATACATTGGTGTCTGTATGGTGGGGCTGCTCTGTACGTGCAGATCTGTATCTGTGGAGTGTCTGTGCTGCTAGGGTTGCTCTGTAGATCCAGGTCTGGCTATTGCTGTCTGTACCCATGGAGTGCCTGTGTTTCCATTGGCTGTCCTGTGCATCCAGGTCTGTATCTGTGCGACCGCGATTTCTTGTACAAAAGCTTCTGAGTTGGCCAAACTCTGTTGGATAAAGTGAGTTTAATCATCTCTGGGCTCCTCTCGGCTTTTTGTTACAGAAATTGAGGGTTTGGAATCTCTTTTGTGCTGATTCCTTGAGGCAAGAATGTCCTATCTGGGGAGAACTTCTGATCTCCTATGGAAGATCTTAGTCCCTGTGAGTTCCCCAGCACTTTGTAGCATCCATGGAGGCTTTTGATTTAAAAATCAATTTTGAATTTTGGAGTCTGATTTTTAAAGTTTGGGACCCTCGTGGCTGTGGGTCCACTGGGGACATTGCCCAGTGCCCAGCCCTTGTCCCTGTGCTGTCAGCCCAGCTGCAGGTGCGACCCCACTGTGTGCAGGGCCAGCTCCCACCCCCCAGGCACAGACAGGGACACAACACCCAATTCAACTCACACATAATTTATTAGTGACAAAGGGGCTGTCTCCAGGCACAAGGGGATGGCACCGGGTGAGGGGATGACACTGTGTCACTGGGCTGGGGAAGCAGTGGGGAAGGGGGGTTTGAACAACATGGTGTGACAAGGACATCCTTGTGAGGACACTTATGTTTGGAAGGACACACAGAGTGCCCTCATGTATGTGCAGGGACTCAGAGGGCCCAGGTCTGTCCCCAGAAGTGTAACAGGCCCCGGGTGTGGCACGTCCCTGTCCCTGATCCTACCCACGCTCGCAGATGAGCTCGACCACGCTGTGCTCCATGGGGACAGGGTCGAGGCAGCGGTGGGCGGCGCTGGCGGCCACCTCGTCCAGCAGCCCCTGCACCACGCGCTCGTCGGAGGCGAAGCGCCACAGGTAGAGCTGCAGGTAGTGCCCGTCCACCTGCACCTGCTGCAGCCCGAAGCGCCCAAGCGTGCGCAGCCGCACGCACTCCAGCAGCGTCTTCAGGCTGATCTTGATGATCCCCGTCAGCACCGACACCTGTGGCAGGGGACAGCAGGGACATGGGGCACGCAGGTGCAGGAATAGTGTCCACACGGGATGTTGGGCCCTTGTCCTGGCTGCCACTCCCCAGGGAAGTCCTGAGCATGGGGACATGTGGCACATGGACACCCTTGGCCTGGTCACTACACTGATCCCACTCCTCCCCAGAGTCATAGGGCAGGGGACACTGGGGACACCCTTGTCCTGGACATCAGCTCCCAGCAATTCCCTGAGCCCTGACACCAGGGGCATGTGCCAGTGGGAAGGTGGGCACTTTGGGACCTCTGGGGATGTTTAGGGACATGGTGATGTCCCCATGACCTCACCTTGTTGAACTCAACAGGGCTGAAGATGTCAATGCGCTCAGAGAAAAGCTTCTGGATGTTGCTGAGCAGGTGGGTGTCCATGGGGGCACTGAGGACATGGACACAGGGACAGTCAGGGACTTGACAGAGCCAGGGATGTGGGGACAGGGACACAGGGACTGTTAGGGGCCATGGAAAGGGTCAGAGGATGCAGGGATGCTTTTGGGGACAGAAAGACAGGGGAATGTGAGGATGATTCCAGGACATGGGGGGACAAGACAACTGAAGGACACAAGGATGATGGGGATCACCAGGGGATTCTGGGACAGTTGTAAGAACACAGGGATTGTTGGGACAAACAGGGATTGTGATTAGGACAGTCTGGCAATATGGGGACAGCTAAGGGCTGTCAAGACAGTCTGGGACAGTCTGGGATCGTGAAGAGGGTGACAGGGGACATGCAGTGGATACTCAAGGAGTGACAGGGAGCCCAGGGGTGCCTGGGTGGCCCAGGCAGTGACACAGGGAGCCCAGGGTGACCCAGGGGTGGCGGGGCTGACCTGGGGGTGTAGCTGGGGGCATAGCGGCCGGGTGCCCGTGAGCTGCTGTAGACGGAGAAGGCCCGCCGGCTGGAATCGCTGCTCTGCGCCCGCCTCACCCCCTCCTCGAAGAGCTGCCCCACCTGTGGGTGGCACCACACCCTCAGCACCCACAAACCCCTCCTGGGACCCCCCAAACCACCCAGCAAGCCTCCCACACCCTTCCAGAATCCCCAGTGGGCCACACAAGGACCTCAGGCAACCCCCTCAGCCGGGGTGTCGGCCGACCTGCACGTCGATGGCGGTGATGTCCTCCACCACGCGCTTCATGACGGCGCGCACGTTGCGTGGCTCCACGGTGCCCAGCCAGTCGCGTGTCTCGACGCTCTTGCGCAGCATCTGCGCCACGGCCGCGCCCTGCACCTGCACGTAGTGATCCAGCAGCCGCTGCGCCGCCGCCCGCGCCTCCGCACACAGCGCCGGCCCCGGCGTCACCGCCGGCCCCGAGTCCTGGGGACACAGAGGCAGCATCAGCCCCGCGCCTCCTCTGCTGCACTGCCACCGCTGGCAACAGGAGGGGTGTGGGGACACGTGGAGATGCCTGCCCTCCCTGTGAGTCTACATATGCTGGGGGCACAGGGACATTGGAGACAGGTGGGACATTCTGCCTGAAGCAGCATCACTGCTGCTCTTACAGGTCCTTAGGGCTTCAGGGGCTCTTGAGGCCATACGGAACCCCCCTGAAAATCTCTTGGGGACATGCAGGATCCCCTTAGGGCCATTTAGAGGCTCACCTGGGGCGGGAACTGCTCATCAGTGAGGGTGAGGATGTAGCTGATGGTGGAGTTCTCGTAGTCCAAGCAGAGACGGGCAAGGAGCAGCAGCAGGGCCGGGGGGGCAGCAGGAGCTCCCCGCTCAGCCGGGCCATCAGCGAAGCCACGGGCGGTGCGGCACAGCCAGCGCACGAAGGCCACCACCAGTCCCTCACGCACTGCTGTCACACAGAACTCCCCCTGTGCCACAAATGGGGGGGTGGATCACACCCCAAAACTGGCCTGTACGGGCTCCAAACCGCCCTGTATGACCCCCAACCTACCCTGTGCCACAGATTGCTCCAGTGACCCCTAAAATGCCCCTAGGCCCCTCATCCTGTCCCCCCAAAGCACCCCACCCCATGTTACCTCACCTTGAAGTAGGGCAGGCTGGCGAAGGCGACATCCCTGGCGGTGAAGAGCTGCACGTAGGCCAGCACAGCCTTGAGCTGGCCCAGCACGGAGGCGGCCAGCGTGGCCAGCAGGTCAGGCAGGCCGGGCCCCTCCTTGCCGGGGGGCCGAGGGGCAGCCAGCGCCTGGCGCACGTCACCCAGGCAGCCCAGGAAGAAGGTCTGCAGGGCGCGCAGGTAGCGGTCGACGCGCTCGCGGGCGGCCCGGGCCACCAGCGCGGCGGCGGCGTCAGCGCCCGCGGGCAGCAGCTCCAGCAGCGCGCGCAGCCGGCGGTGGAAGCGGTCGAGCGCCCGCACCAGCAGGGATGTGTCGCCCAGGCCGCGCTCCAGCGCCAGCCGCCGCTCCAGCAGCGCAAAGTAGCGGGTGGCCAGCGCGGCGGCGAAGGGCTCCAGGCGCCCCGTGTCCCCGCCGAAGAGCGCGCGGTACGAGCCGGCCAGCTGGCACAGTGTGCCCACGAAGGCCGAGCTGCCGCGGTCCACGAAGTCCAGGATGTCGGAGGCGGGTGGTGGCGGCGTGGTGGCCGTGCCCGAGGGGTCTGCCACGGGCAGCTCGGCCTCCAGCGCCGCCAGCTCGGCCTCGAGGCGTGCGCCCGCCTGGCTCAGGAACTCCTCGCTCAGTTCCTCGGCCGGCTCCTCCAGCTGCAGCAGCATCTCCACGCACTCGGTGAGTTCCTTGGGGTCCAGCGTCTCCTCCCTGGTGGCCCCAAGAGTTAACAGCGGCACAGCAGAAAACAGGGAATAAGCAATAGGCGTCATCAGCGGGCTCTGGAGTGAGCACCCCCAAACCCACATTTCTCAGCGCTGCCCCCAGCAGGCTCTGGGTGAACGCACCGGAGGCGTGTGCGGAGGCGCTGGGCTAGCTCGGCCATGATGGCGTGGCTCTCGTCCTCAATGGCGCGGAAGGAGGGCAGGTGCCGGTAGTGGCGCAGCACGGCCCTGGCGCGGGCGTGGCAGCGCAGGGCCCGCGCCGGCTCCGTCCCCGCCCAGCGCCGCAGCCGCCCCGGCACCTCCACCAGCGCCTGCAGCTTCCGCAGCAGCGCCTGCACCCCTGCAGGAACACGGCGTCAGCCAGGGGGACACAGCGGGAGCAGCATGAGGCACAGCTGTGGGACCATCTGCCAGATCTCTACCCCTCAGATTTGCCCCTCTGCCCCACACGATTCACCCCAATAAATGTGCCCCCGGATGGCCCCGCTCCGTACCGGCCAGCTGGGCGCCGCGGCGGTGCCGGTCCTGCAGCGCGGCGCTGACGCGGGCGCTCGAGGCGCTGATGGCCGCCATGTTGGCTGCCAGGTCGTCCATCTCCGCCTCCATGTGCCGGAAATCCACCTTCATCTTCCGGATGGTGTCTGGGGAGCAAGAGCCAAGTGCCAGGTCCCTCGGCTGCCTGGGAACCCCCCAGTCTGCCCAGGATTAGCACACCACAGCCATAACCCCCCAGAGAAGGCTGGTTACTGCCATGGCTGTCAGTGGTCCCCAGAGCGAACCACCACACGCCCCAGGACAGCTTACCAGTGCTGCCAGAGGGAACACCCCCAAACTCCCATTTCCCAGTGCTGCCATCAGTAGGCTCCAGAGTGGACCCACCCCCGAATCCCCGTTTCCGATTGGTGCCATCAGCAGGCTCCAGAGGGAATAGCTCACCAGTGGCAGAGATGAACTTGTTGTAGTTCTCGTAGAGCAGGGTCTGCATGTCGCTGTCCAGGGCACGGATCTCCCGGCTCAGCGCGGCCTCGCGGGCCAGGAGCTGCCCCAGGGGACACTCGCTGCGCACCTGAGGGGACAACGGATACACATCTGCCTCCACTGCCCCCTCCGGAGCCCCCCAGCTGAGATCAACTGTCCTCCATAGTACATCTGAGACCCTCCCCTGCCCTGCAGGATCCCTGACTGTCCTCCCTGGATTCCTCCCGGGATATGGAAGTGTTCCCCAGAAGCCTCCCCTGCCCTGCAGGATCCCTGACTGTCCCCTCTGGATTCCTCCCGGGATATGGAAGTGTTCCCCAGGAGCCTCCCCTGCCCTGCAGGGCTGCCCCCCACGCAGTGCTAACTGTCCTGATGCAGCTGCTGCCAAGCCCCTCAGCACCATTCCCGCACGGAATCAGTGTCCCCAGGGAAGCATATCCATAAAGTGCTCGAACAGGCCCTTTCTGAGATCCCCTCAGGATCCTAGGGCCCCGAAGGTTCTGGGGACGCTGCGGTCCTGCCCCGCCAGAGTCGGGGCCACCCATCGAGATCTCTCGTGACGTGGTCCCGCGGGGACCTCCCGGGGCCCCTCGAAGCCGTCTCCAAGGTGGCGGTACCCGCAGGAGGGGTCTCCGTGCCCACCTTGGTCATGAACACCTCCGGGTCGAAGTGGGGCCCGTTGATGTCGGTGGGGTCCGGGGGCGCCTCGGCCGCCTCGGCAGTGGACGGGCCATAGTAGCGCTGGAGAGGCCCGTGGGGACGCCGCCACCCGCCGCCCCCGGTGCTGCCGCCGGTGGCCTCGGGGCTGCCTGCGGCCCCGCTCCCGGCCCCGTTCCCCGCTGTCGCCGCCGCCATCGCGCCGCCGCTTCCGCCCCAGCAGCCACTTCCGGCTTGTCCCTTATGCAACTTCCGATGCGACACCCCGTTGCCATGGCGACGGGACACCGAGGCCGAACGTGGCGGAGCCCAGTCACCGGGCCCTGGGGCAGCTGCCACGGGGACGGAGCCGGAGCGGCCCGTGTCCTGCCGCGCCATGGGGACAAGGACTGCCGTGAGGACTCAGACATGGGTGGAGACACAGACCCTCGAGGGGTGAGAGGCCGCTGGCTCCCCAACCTGGGGCCCGTGTCTCTCACCGTCCATTTTCACCGCTGTCCAGCTGTCCGCAGGCCTCCCCGGTGTCTCTATGAGTCCCCGTGATTCCCCCACCCCACCCGACGGTCCCGCTCCAGCCCCGGGGTGGCTCTGGGTGACGCTGGAGTTGGGCTGTGAGGCCGCAGGTACAACCAGGTAATCGACCTTGCACAAGGAACAAACACCTGGGCTAAAAGGTCTAAAATCAGCTTTATTTACAGCAGAAAAGGCAAAAGAAACCCTGCCAGGGTGAGGGCCAGGCTGCTTCAGGGGCCTTTAGTCGGGAGTCACCTGCTCCAGGAATCACAGGCCATTGATTCTTCCCAAAGGAAAGAGCCCAGAGCTGCCACGTTGCACCAGGAAAGCAGGAAGAGCCAGAGGAAGTTCCTGCTGCCTCCTTGCTCCTTGCCTTTCCTGCATGTTTTTTTCCCAAACATAGAAAAGAGCACACCTAATCCAGCCAGGGTGTGTTTTGTGAGCAGTTTGGTACATGGGACAACATTCCCTTCATAGCTATGGACCCAAGTCAGCCCAAGGGCAAAGGAATTCCCAGTGGGAACAGGGAGAAAGCAAAGGAACACTCAGCCATCCATCCATGAAGAGGGTTTGCTGGAGAGTCTAAATCAGAGGAGGAGGAATGGCTGAGCCCTGGCTGTTACAGGAAGAGAGAAGGAAATAAGCAAGGCAGGGATTTCTTTTGTACCTTCTAAATGCATAAACAAATCAGCAAATCCTTCCTTGCTTCCCCCCACTCCTGACAGCACTGAGAGGGGAATTCCACCTCACCTCAGCCTCTGCTTTATTGGCACTACATCTCCACAAAGTGCTCTAAAACCAGGGTGGCACAGTAACCACAATTAACTGGACCTTCTGCCACTGAATTTCTTTACCCTGATCTAGTAAATAAATTTTCACATGTGTGGGAAGGTTCTGGAAGGTTCCACACAAGTGCAAATCCATGCCGTTATGGACTGGGGCCCTCCCTTCCCACAAACTGTCCAGCCCAGTTTGCCCACAAGGATGATAAAGAAAACCAAGCCAGGATTTAATCAAAGTCCTGCTCCCCTGCATCTCTTCCCTGCCACAATCCGAGAGCATCCAGGCCCAGATCCATTGCCAATTCTACCCAAAACCAGCACAGCACAGGTTTCCTTTCAGCCCAGGGAAATGGAGAGTGGCCACATGGAATGTCAGTCACACACTGGTACTCCCAAATCCCATAAGTCAGCATCCTAAATCCTACAGCTTGCAGAGCTCAGCTGGGTTATGTATGGAGTATCCACAAGTCCCTGGATTTGTTAGTTCCTGGTTTTCATTGAAGGAAGTGATGTGGAAGTGGCCCTTAGAAATAGCCCACGGGATGTGGACAAGGCAGGAGGTCACAGCCAGAGCCATGACCCCAAAATCCCGTTAGACACGAAGATCCCTTTGGAGCCAAACTTGTTTTGGAAGAGCTGTCTGGGCCCAGCCAGAGCGACGAGGGAGGAAAATCACTGGGAAGGTAGAGGTATGGCTGGAGGCTCCTCTGGAAAAGGTGTGGGCAGGTGGGATCTGGCCTGTGACACGTCCCAGGCTGGGCTCAGGTCCCTGCCCGGGACACCAGGTAGTAGAGGATGAAGAAGATGAGGACGAGGGCCACGGACACGGCCAGGAGCAGCCGGCGGTTGTCGCGGCCGGAGCGCGCCATGCCCGAGAAGCGCTTCACGCTGCCCGTCAGCAGCCCTGTCACGCTCAGGAAATCCGAGTCCTGGTGGGAAAGGACACCTTGGAGGCCTTGCAGAATTATGAAACTTCCCAAGTTTCCCAAGGGAACATTCCGAGTCCTGAGGGACTCACAGGGATGAGCCAATCCAGCTCTAAGCCCTGCACAGGACACCCCAACATTCCCGGTGCTGATATAGGGCTTCTCCCTTAAGGGCTTTTGCCGTCCCACCTCTCATCCCAATTCCCTGATTTGCACAGAAGGACGCACAAGGATGGGCCAGTCTGGCTCCAAGCCCTGCACGGGACACCCCAACAATCCCAGTGCTGATTTAGGGCTTCTCCCTTAAGGGCTTTTGCTGTCCCCTCTCTCATCCCAGTTCCCTGATTTGAACAGAAAGCCCCGTGTCCTGTCTCCCAGGTCCTTACCATGCCATCCAGGTAGCGGTTCTGTTCCTCAGCATCCTTGTCAATATCCAGAGCCAGCTGCAGGGCAAGGCAGGAAATGGGCATTAATGAGCTTTTAATGTCCAGAGAACGTCTAAAATCCGAAATGCAAATTATTTAAACAAGCTGCTGCTTTCCCAGCTCCAACAGACACACAGGCGCTTGTCTGGTGCACGAACAGGGAAAATGGAATTTCCCTGTCAGGCAAGTGAAGTTTTCCAGCTCTGAAAATAAAGTCTAGCTGTCTGAATCTGTCAGCTAGAGAGGGGAGTTTAAACCCTGGGACACAATGGCAGGAATTCAACCTGCCCTTTTACACAGTGAGTTATCACCTTCTTTCATGGTTTGTACTAAACTTTTACTAATAATTTAGAGCTTACAGCTCTAAATCAACGTGTTTGATGTTAATAGGAGCAAACTGTAGGGGGATAGAATATAAGAAAATAAAGATAGTGTAGAAAGTAATCTTAGCTCTAAGGAGTTGCAGCTGGGCCAATTATCAAAGATTAGGAACAGGCCTGACTTTAAAAGGCCACAGCTGTAAGCAATGAGAAGAAGAGTGCTATAAAAGAGTGGGGTGGCTGGGTGAGATGGGAATGGCTGTTAGTGTGCTACTTTGTAAAGTAGAAGGTCAGTGCTCTGAGGAGATGCCCATGAGAAAACACCAAGAAGGTATGAAACTTTTGTGATAAGGGGATGCCATATGGAACCCCTGCAATAAGGTGACAACAGTGAGTCATTGCCTTCTTTCTTGGTTTGTACTAAACTTCTAATAATAATAATTTAGAGCTTAAAGCTTAAATCAAAGTGTTTGATGTTAATAGGAGGGAACCAGCTTTAAGAACAGCTACACAGAGACACAGGTATTTTCCAAAATTAATCTACCTGCCTTTTTGTCATGAATATTTCCCTGAGGAGGTGAGCGTAGCAGCACCCCTGTGTTCAGGTTGGACAGGGCTTAGAGCAACCTGGTCTAGTGGAAGGTGCCCCTGCCTGTGGGAAGGGGTGGGACTATGAGCCTTAAGGTCCTTTCCAACCCAAACCTTTCCATGGTTCTGTGATCCCCTGCAGGACTCCCAGGTAATCAGAGCTTGTCCTTCAGCTCAACACCTGCTGTGACCCCGGCACTCACCGACTTCAGCCTGGTGACCTTGCTGGCCAGGCTGTCGGCCATCCGCTTGTTCTCCACGTCCAGCAGGTCCTCCATGGCGCTCGGACTCTGCCCTGGGAAGAAGAACAAGGAGCACACATCATCCCTGCCCCAGCGTGGCTCTGTTCCTGTCACAGCCCCTCCTCGCATGGCTTGCGCTGTGGAACCCTCCGAAAATGTGACCAAAACACCTCAGACTTCTCCCAAATGCGCCAGGGTGAAAACTCAGACTTGTGCCCTCAATTGCCACCATGGCCCAGCAGCAGCTGTGGGGGGTTCCATGGCCAGTGATATCCAGGGGTGAGATTTGGGTGAAACCCGGCGAATCCGGGGCCCTTTGCGCCTCGGCCGTGTTGGGGTCTCTCGGCATTGCCCCCCATTGTGGGGCAGGTGAGGTCCGGGGGGGGGGGGATTGGGGGTGCCGGGGCAATTAGGGGCTATGGGGGAAGCTGGGGACTCAAAAGGGCACTTAGGGGTTCAAGGGGACAATTAAGGGTTTTGGGGGGGGCAGCCCAGGACCCAAAAGGGGCCCAGGTAGGCAATTAGGGTTTATGGGGGGGGCTATTCCCGGGCTGTAGGGGAGAAATCGGGGCACTGCAAGAGGCGCCATGGGGTTCAGTGGGATCAGGAGTTCCTCCTCCCTCTGACCCGCTCCAGCCCCTTCTGCCCCCCCAAATCTGTCCCTGTCGCTGTCCCTTGTCCCCTCACCTCGGCCCCGCTCCGCCATGGCTGCCCCGGCCCGTCCCGCCCCGCCGGGCGGAGCCGCCACGAAATGTCCGCCCGCTCTTCCTCCTTCTCCTCCTCCTCCTTCCTCCCGGCACCGGGACCCTCGGGCCGCTCGCCCGGGCCGGGGCGGAAGGGCTGGAACTGCCCCCCGAGGGATCCCGGGCCGCAGGTACGGCCAGCGCCCTGCCGGGCACAGGGGAGGGACAGGGGGCTGGGGGGGAGAACAGCGGCTTGGTGACAAAAAACGGGGGGATTGGGGATAAAAATGGTGCTCTGGGGACAAGAATAGGGGGATAGGGATGAAAAGAAGCTTTGGGGAAATAATTAGGGGCGGAAAGTAGAGGTTTGGGGGGAAAATAGGGGCTTGGGATAAAAAGGTTTGGGGGAAAAAATAGGGGCTTGACACGAAAATAGATGTTTGGGGGGGAAAGTAGGGGTTTAGGGACATAAACAGGGTTATGGGGACAAAAAAGGGGGTTTGGAATTTACCCAGATGGTGGAGGAAGGAGGTGGCAGTGTGAGGAAGCAGTAGGAGTATGGAAATGGGGATATGCCCAATGGTCCATTGGTTCATGTCATCCCCCAAAAGCAGAGGTGGATCCCCTGCATCTCAGCCCCTGCGCATGGGGATGCTGTGTCCCTGCCCCGGGCAAGCCCAGCCTCTGTCTCCGAGGCTTTCTGCCTTCCAAAATGCAGGATCTGCCTCTTTTGGTCCCCTCGAAAAGCCCCTCTGGGGCTGCGTGGGCAGGAGGGGACAGCCCCTGTGATTCCCAAACCCCGGGGGCCCTGGGCTTGGGATCGCGATTTGTTGAGCTTGGTGTGACCAGCTCAGCCCCATCCTCATGGCAACACGGAACGCCGAACATATGTCCGAGCCCAAATCTGCTGGATTTCCCCCACACTGCGAGCCACGTCCCAGCACCGTGAGCCGCTAAACCGGTGCCGTGTCCAAAATAATCCCGCGGAGCTGCGTATCTGCTCGCTGGCAGTGTCGGCAGGGACATCCTCTCCCGGGGGCTCCGGACGCGCCTTTTGGCCGCGCCTGCAGGGACCGGCCATCATCCAAGCCGCCACCAAACCCTCCCCGGTCTGCTTCCCACCACCTGCCAAGGTAGCTCCGCCTGCAGCCGGAGGATGCTCTCCCGCCCGGCTGCCTCGCTGCTCCATCCCTTGTCACTCCACGGGAATGTTTCTGGCTTTATTTGTTATTTTCCCCCCTGTGCGGCAGCAGAAATCAGGGCAGGCGGGGAGGAGGAGGAGGCAGGGAGCTATTTCAGGGAGCTGCTGTTATCTGCTCCACGTTAATCCCCAGCTGGTGGGGGGAAGGTTTTCCCTGAGTGCTTTCCTGGGAGGGCATATATTAAACATTGAAAAGCAAAGCGAGGAAGAAGAGGATTAGTGAGAGAGAGGAAGCTGGCTACTGGCTTTGCTTGGGTTATCCATCTGCTCTACTTTTATGAATGCAGCAGTGTGAGCAATATCACTTGGGATTTTTTTTGATTTTTTTTTGGTTGTCTTTTTTTTCCCTCCTTGCTCTCTCCACCCCTTTCTCTCTTCCCTCTCAGAGGTCTGTGTGTCGAGCTGCTTTTCCATCACCCTGGAAATCCCCTCATTCCCCTTCCTCTGGGCTGTGCTGTAGCTGAGCTGTTGGGATAATGGAGCTCCAGGCTGTGGTATCCACGCTGGAAAGCGGGGAGCAGGACACGGTTCTCAAGGTGCTCCAGGTCTACAACCAAGAGGTGAGTGAGCATCAATGCTTCCCTCAGCTCAGGGACTCCTAAAAAATTGTTATCCAGATCCCAAGAAAGCCTGGCTGGGAAACAAGAGTCAGGGTGAGGACTGAGTAGGAGGAGCTTTTTTGTTAAGACAGTTTTGGAGGTGCTGAGAGAACCCAGGGAGGAGCTGCAGGTGAAAGGATGTTGGGATTTGCAAGTCAAAAGATGGTTGGATGTGACTGCTGGGATCTCCTATGGGCATGGCTCTGAAGACAGTAAATAATGAATGTAGAATATCAAACCCCAATGATCTGGAAGCAGAGATGGGAGCATTTCTAGCCTTAAAGTAGGAAAGATTATCCATGGTGGTAAATCTCTGCTTGGAGAAAGGAGACTGAAGGGAGATATCAGCTTTTTATGGCTTCCTCCTGAGGTGCAGTGGAGGGGCAGCTCCAATCTCTGCTCTCTGACCAGTGACAGGACCCAAGGGAACAGCTGGAGAGGTGTAGGTTGGATATCAGGAAAAGGTGCTTTCCCCCAGAGGGTGGTTGGGCACTGACCAGGCTCCCCAGGGAGTGGGCACAGCCCTAAGGCTGCCAGAGCTCCAGGAGTGTTTGGACAGCGCTTTCAGGCATAGGGTGGGATTTTAGTGGTGTCTATACAGGGCCAGGAGCTGGATTGCATGGATTGTGTGGGTTCCTTCCAGCTCAGGATATTCTATAGCTCTCTGAAATCCTGTTTGAAACAGACTCTGGTTGTCAGGGAAATTTCCTTTGGAGGTTTCCCCTGAGAGGGGCTGGCCCTGTGGATTACTCTGACTCACTCTGCACCAGGCTGGAGTAGGTGGAAGCCAGGAGGGAAAACCTGAGGAATATTTTGCGAGAGTGTGTGTGAGAGAGAGAGTGTGGAACTATTCCTGACAGTCAGATTTGGAATGGGGAGATATTGGCCAAGAAGGAGCAGGTGTCTGTTAAGGACAGCACTGAGGATTAACAGCACCAGCAGCAGGTGCAGCACCAGCATCCTCGGGGTGCAAACAGTGTCTGTGTGCCCCCAAAACAAGATATTTCCTGTTGGATTCCCCCAGCTGGGTCCTTCCTGGGGTATCAAGCCTAGGGAACTGCAAGCGCAGGGTTTGCTGGCCCGTCTGAAGGAAATGGAGCAGTCAAAGAGGATTATGAAACTGCAGATAAACCTGGCACGGCCTGGCATTGCTTGTGCTGCAAGGCTGATGGTTCTGTATGCTTTTCCTGTGGATTTGTTTTAATTCACTGTTGTGCACGCAGTTTTTGCTTGCTGGGAATATATTACAGCTAAAGCAAAACCCCAGGTGTGGCCAAAGTATCCCCAAATGGGATTACAGCCTGAAAAGAGGATGTGCTGAGGGAAGATCAAGCAGCCCGCTTGTGGAACACAGCGATGCCAGGACTGAACCATCAGCTCACACACAGCCTGGCTGGAGTACACCTGTCCTGCCCCCACACCTGGGGCTGCTCCAGGTGCTGTGTCCATCTCTGCTTCCAGGCTGGACACAACCCTGGGCTCTTGGTAACTGCATACACATAATCAGTGTTTCATGGATTTTAAATGTTTTTGTTCTCCAAGCTGGCATCAAATGCTCTCTTGGTATGAACAAGGATTGCCTCAATGACTGGGAGGTGCTGCTTCTCCCCAGGCATCTGTGATCTCCAGTTCCATGGGAGCAGGTTTGGTCAGGAAGGAGACTGGCAGTGAAGAACAAACAAAATAGCAAGAGAAACGCAATGAATGGAGATCAGGAGTGTTTGTTAGCATAGTGACAGGATGGAGTGTGGACATCAAGTCCCTTGTGTTTAAAGAACAGCCTGGGTAACCAGAAGGATCCATTCCCATGTACCAAGGAGACAGGACTTCTTTGGGGCAGGAAAAGGAATAATATCAAGGGGAGGACATGCAGGCACAGCTCAGTGGTATCACTGAGCAGGGGAATTACCGGCTCTTATAGGATATTGGGATTGGGATGAATACCCAGTGTGCTGCTGCAGTGTTTAAACTAAATCCATCTGTCAGCTGGCCTGTGGCATTGCACTGGTGCTGTGGATCCAGGGGTGATGCCCATGATGTGGGCGGGACTGTCAGGAGATGGTGTGTTTGCTGTTGCAGCATGTTTTGGACCTGCTGCTTTCCAGCTGAATGGCTCTTCTCTGGTCCCATGGAGTTTTAACCTATTCCTCTTTCTGATTGATTTTGTTTTTCCCACAGAAATCTCAGTGCTTCATCTTTGAGGATGAGGAGCGGGAAGAGAGGAAGGTAGGCACATGCTGCTTGCTTTCCTCCTCTGGTCAGTGTGTGAATCTGCTGCTCTGTGCTCATGTCCAACTGGGCTTGGCAAGCAGCTCCCACAGGAGGAGAACTGAGAGTTTTCCATTAACTTGGTTAGGGAATTATGTGCTTGGAGTGTCTGGCTCTGTTTTTTTCCATCAGTAGTTGGTTGTTTTGGATAAAGGTCAGCATCCTTCTGACACTAGCAATGGTTCCATGATCCATTTAGTCCCAGCCATGGATGTGATCTCTGGTGCCTCTGAACAGGGATCACAGCAGTGCTGGCTCTGGGGTGGGGGGTGAGAGGCTCCCCTGGGAGCCAGCAGTGGGATTTGCCAGGAGCTGTGTATTAGCAAATCCTTTGAGCTGGTGTAATCTGGCACTTGGAGGGAAGGACACTCTGCCTGCTCATTCCTGCTCCTGCAGCACTTTGTGACAGGGCAGGCCTCAGCCTGGCTGTTCTGCCATAAAAATGACTGTTTTCCCTGGGTTGTTTTCCAGCTGGCTCAGTTCTGTGGTCAGCTCACTGGTGGATGGTGCCAATGCCTGTGTTAGCACAGCAAGTGCAGGCCAGGTGACCTGGGTGGAGAGCAGGACCTCCTTTGGCTGTGCCAGGGCCAGCTGCTGCCACATGGTGTGTTCCAGGCACAGCCTGAAATGTGTGACTGCATCTCATGAGATCTGAGCTCTTTGCCTTGCACTGACCTGCTGTGTGAGCTGGGACAGTCACACAGGATGTGGCTTCAGGCACAGTGTCCCACTTTTGGGGTGTCTGCCATGAAATATGAGATGAACATCACTACTACCTCCTGGTACTTGGGTGTTCAGGTGGTTCAGCTTCAGGCACACACTCTCTGAGATCCCTTTCCCCTGAGCCAGCCTGAGGCTTTGGTTGCTGGGACTGTATCTGAAACTTTGTCTCCCTGTGAGGAAGAAGAGGAACAGCTGTACTTCATAACTTCCCCAGGATGTGAGTGTGGGGCAC